GGCCAAGCTGGAGGTCATGAGAGGAGATGCATTTTGGACCATGTCCAATGTGACAGGATTATTGGTGCATGTGACCTCGTCCCCATTGAGCTGCAGACTAGTTTAGTGTGTGGCGGTGGTGGGAGGGGGGCGGTAATCTTGTGGTTTTGCAAGCCAAGAACTTGCTGCAGGTTAGTACTGGCCTTTCGGTCTGCATCTGTTGTAAATCAGTTGGTATTGTTTTTGGAGACAGTTGTTCATAAAGATCACCTCGCCGGCGCTCAGTAAGGGTCTCCATTCAGGGTCTCCATTTCCAGAACTTACTTTTTCCTTTTGTGACTGAACATGGATCTCATGGCACAGATGTGTGTTGTGTGTGGCCCATGTCCAGCGTGTGACGCACCGGTGCGGATTTACAACCCTCTGACCTTCTGATGCAGGTATCTTTCAGGCTGGAGTTTGAGTTTAGCCGCTCAGTCTTCCTCGATCACGTGCGGGTGATGCTGGATGCTGCCAGGTGAGACCACCTCACTCCAGGAAGTGAATAATGCTGACATCATCATATGGCAGCCTAACACTACAATATATAGGCAGTCTCTTGTATCTGTTGATCTACAATAGATAGGCTATGCAGGGAAAAACACCTCTAATGCTGGATGGGTATACATCACCCTTCAGATACGTGCCATTGAACTATGCCTCACTGTGAAATTAAGCAGTAGCACTTCCAAAAACATGCCCGTTTGTCCTCTGCAGTGACGGGGAGGAAGTCAACATGGCTGACAATCACAATGACATATATCACCAGTTGAGATATGAGGCCGACCTTCTTTTTACAAGGTTTGCTCTGTCTTGTCACCTTGCCGCTCTGTCTTGTCACCTTGCCTCATTGCAGTGAAATACCAGTAAGTCTCCAAGACTCACTGCAAAGTCCCTCCACGTTGAGGTTGTGGCGGGTAACACTGCTCTCCCGCTCCCCCATTTGCAGGGACTCCTCCCCCTCTCGCTGCGAGATTAAAAGCGAGCGTGCCTTGGAGAAGCCCACCAGCAGGAGGGCCCCCTTTAACTTCACCTTCCAGGTCAGTGCTTCCTACCCGCTGAACGACATGAAGGTGGCTAAGACTGGTTTCACTGGTTCTGCAGCAGATGCTTCAGATATTCCGCAGCTTTGGCACTAGCACTTCTGAACTGTATATGAATTGCAGTTCTGCAATAAGCTTGTCCAGGTGGGCATGGTGGTTCAGTGGGCATCATTGATGCCTTGCACCTCAAGGGTTGTGGGTTGAAACCCCCCCCCAGTTCTGTGTTTGCGGAGTTTGCATTTTTTCTCCCAATGCCTCATAGGTTTCCTCTGGGTTATCAAGTTTCCCCCTGCAGTCCAAAGACATGCAATTAGGCTAAATCGCCCATTGAGTGTAAGTGTGTGTATGTGTGATGGACTGGTGTCTAGAGTGATCTGCCTGGGAGAGTCAGCAGGACCCCATGACCCGGAGCCGGCTGAGTGCTTAGAGAGTGGAATGATGTCGTCCATTTGTCTGATACTAGCCCACTAATGCTTTTCTTATCTGTGTTCCTTGCTCACCATAGATACAGAATCTGGGTTATTTCCCTGTGAGAGACCTGCATCTCAGCATCGAACTGCCCCAGGTGGCGAAGAGCAAGACGCCAGTTTTACAGATAACTGACTTCCACATTGATCAGGTGAGAGACCCACATGCTGCTTACGCACCTCCTGACGGAGCTGTACGTCCTGAGTCACTCGGCCGCCGCTATATCGCCGTATTGGTTGCTGTATCGTCACTCAGCCGCTGCTGTATTGGCCGCCGCTGTATCGGACGCCGCGCTCTGTTAGCCCCATAGCTGCCTTCTCCTGAGCTTTGGAGCTGCGATTCCCCTTTAACTGCTTTCCAAGGAATGGCTCAGAAACAATGGAAACGTCATTATCGCAGGCCTTGGCACGTGGGATTGGGAAGCCGGTCCCTACTACCCCTGCCAGCCCCCCATTTAACTCCAGAGTTAATGGGCGCCTCATGTGTTCCAAACATCTTGACATGGAAAAGAAGCTGTTTGCCATAGCTGGGGCTCGCATTTGCTCCCTTGCGAGGAGAGTCTCCTAACGAGATCTTGGCTTCCATCAGACAGACGGCACTCGCTGCATCCCCCGTCATAATGTGACGCCGGGCCAGGACCCCCCCGAGGACCTCTCCCTCTCTCCACAGCTGGTAAAGCGCCCGCCTCAGTTGCTCTTATTTATAGCTGTAATGATCCACCCGTTCCTGTTTTCTGCAAGCTGTTAGCGTTCTGCATCCTGCCCGCAGAACGTGTCCGACAGTGTGCCAGTGCCCGTACAGTGCAGCGTCAACCTGCCGGCCTACAAGGGGGTCACTGTAACAATCGGCGGCCTGTTGCTCCTGGACAGCCTGAGTTCTGTGAGTCCCCGGCTCACTCCTTTAATCGGAGGGCCCGCTACCGCCCCCTGCTGGCTGAGCTGACCTGCTCTCAAACTTGTCCCAACAGCTGAAGTTCAGGAGCATGGAAGTGGTGACCACAGCATCCATAGAGCTAAATGCACCCAGCCCCATGTTCCTGCTAGAAGACAAGCCCGTGCGGCACGTAAGTGCCTGAAGCTTTATGACGAAATGGCTCGGGTTTCGGTGCCGTCGACCTGCACTGCGCACACGGTTAATCTGGCAGGCTGCAGTTTGTTTTAGTCAGGCGTCTGTCTGACTGCACAGCACATATCGCTAAGCTTAAGGACCAAGGGCGCCAGAAGAAAGCTCTGCTATTTTCAGATAAGCTGCTCTGTGCTGCCACCTTTTGGAGAGTAGTAGCTAACAGCATTCACTTACCTCAGGACTCAGCACTGAGGGCTTCTGCTTGCCCCAAGGACAGAAAAGGGCATGCAGTATCACATCTGCGCTTTAGGTCTATAACTTTAACAGCACTTCCTGCAGAATTATTATATTATGAGGAACCGTTTTCTGTCTCTAGGCTTCAACATATTCATTTTATTCCCCAGAGTCTGTGGTAAAACAAATTACAAACTCTGTGGGATAAATTCTTTGAACGGCATATAAAATATCGTTTTAAAATGATGTTTTATCCTTGTAACACTTGCACAGACAAAATACTTGAACCCAATTAAACCTTGATTACCTCTGGGGGTCCCTTCCTTGCCTTGCTGCCTCAGATAATTCTGGAGATAAGAAAAGAGGAGGATCATCGTGTTCCCATATGGATCATAGTTGGGAGTACCCTTGGGGGGCTCCTACTGCTGGCCCTGCTCATCTTGGCCTTGTGGAAGGTAAGGCAGGCTGCACTGGGATGGAAAGGTTACCATACAAACATCACTGTTCCTTCACTTCATTTCCTCGCACCTCCCCTCCATCCTCCCAGCTCGGGTTCTTCCAGAGGCAGAAACGGCGGGAGGAGGAGGAACAGGAGGCCAACGGGAAAGTGGTGGAGGAGCGGTAACAGAGCCCGCATCCCAGGAACAAGCTGGCCCAACACTCAGGGACCATCCAAGACTGAGTCCGCCGACAGCTCTGAGTCCATATGAGACGCACCTGCTTTTTGTGCACTGGGAGAACTGGTCCTCCACCGAGACTCACTGCTGACCCAGAACCAACCAGACATGCGCAGCTCAGCCCGCCCTCTTTTCACCTCTGCACCAATCAGCTCCCACCCATACTGTATTCCCTTCACCAGCATCTCATGGATGAAAATGGGGTTGGATCCTCATTACCTCACCTACAGAGGAGGTGCTTCTACGATTGTGAAGAGGCTGTAATTTGTCCTGACAAATCAGGAGGTAATTTATGAAACAACCTTTCTGAGGATGGCGATCCCCCTCCTTTCACACTTGTGTCCGTGTGTGGACCAGAACCCCTCGTGATCCTTCTGCAACTGGTGGGAGAAAAGCAGTTCATTGCTGAAAGGAGTGAACAAATGAGGGCCCCACCTGAAGGAGCACATGACCACACTGCAGTGGACTGAAGACGGGCACTGGACTGAACAGCAGGCCCTTCAGCTGTGCAATCAGAAGGCAAGTGTCTTCAGCACAAGGAAAGTGCACGAAATTGAAATGTTCCCGTCGATAGCCCTGAGAATACTGGTATCCAGATCTCCCGTTTTTAGTAACAGATACCTCTCAATGGATGAGGAGTAGTTTCCTAGTTTCTTAAATTGGTTTTTAGATTCTCACCTACCTGATTTGTAACAATGTATTAATAAGCTGCGAAGACTTTGCAGATCATGCTTACATGTAGATGCACTTTTACGATGTATAAACTTGAATTTTGTAAATAGCCAAGTACCTTTTATATGGCCTGATGATTTTTTTTTTACTTCCACAAGCACTGCGGTGTAGCTTTCCTGTTTCTGGCAAGTTAGTTTGTACCAAAATGCTTCACACAGCAAATAGCCTTCAATTAGAAATCATATGCACATTGTACACAGTTAAACCAGTTGTTTTTTGATGGATACAGCCTTCGGATTTCTGTAAGATCATCCATGTGATATCCACTTAACCACATCATGAATTTCTGCAGTCATCAAGCAAAACAGTGTTAAATATTTATTCTTTATCTTGCCCACGTTCTCAATATGTATGTTAATAACTTGGAATATAAAAATGTAAAAGTATTTGTGCCCCTAACCATGTTTTAATGTGTATACTAACCCTACAGATTGAATGTAGCCGGACACTGAATTTCTGCGTAGATCTGTTCCCCTTCACACCACATGGACGTTAAACTGTCATTTTTATCTTAGTCACAAAGAGCACACCGTGATAACAGAGGACTCCTTTCCTTTGAATTCTGTATTTTTCATACTCCATAAACGACAATTGCATAATGTCAAACACCGAACTGGAGAACCCAGGACAGCAAGGATTAATGTCTGTTAATTATCGCCCTAACAATGAATAGCATTTGACATCTCAACAACGGGAACAAGAAAACCATATCAACTGCTTTTGGATCCTTAAAGACATTTCAGTTAGTAAGACAAACACAGGCTTTATCTTTCCATCTTTTAATTTCTGGTAACGACCTGTGAAAAAAAACACCACAGCCCAAGTTACAAAATGAGAATAAATACGAGTCGAGCCGGAGTTGAAAGCCCACGGGTTTGGGTCCTGGTCACCAGGAGGGGCCTGTGAATTCGGTGCTTATTGTGACAAGAATTGCCAAGCTATGCCCCCAGCCCCCCCCATCCCTTGTGGCTCCTGTGCAGGGGGCCCCAATGCACACAGCGTCTCTGATGACACAGAACCAGACTTCTGCGGCACGGCTGTAACCTAAACGTCTGCCATTTCAGTTTTTCCATGTTAAAGCATAACATGAATCCATTTTTCAGAGAATATTCAGGTGTGTTTTCAAATCATAATCAGACAACCTTAAGAAGTGAGGTGAACAAGCAGTATGAAAGTGGATGAATCTTAGCTTTGGGAGGTCTTCCTGCTAGGGTTTTACAAATTTGAATCAAAATACCTTTCAATCTTAAATATATATATATATATTCAGGTTACCAAAAAAAACAAGAATAAAGTGCAATCTAGATGTATACAAAGATCTGTGTTTCCATCGAATGAGCATAAAGACAGCTGTGCTCTGTATTCAAGAAGACCAGTCTTGAGAAACATGGCAACCAAACATTTCATAATTAAAATATAAAAAAAAAACAAGTACCAGAATTAACAGAAATACCATAGATTCAACCTTTGCAACCACTGAAAATTATTTACCAAAAGGAGAATGTGTCGACAGAAACGTGACATGGGGTGTGGATCAGTACATTCGTTTTTTTCTTTTTTTGAGAGATTACAGAGATTTTCTTTCAAAATACAAGCATCCTCTCCCATGTAGGCTGAACTGCCTATATTCACACTCACACACACACACACACACACACACACACACACACACACACACACACCCACCCCTTGTGTGGGGCTGGCCATTACACAGGCTTGTCCTCACCTAAATTAACCCAAACTAACCAAAACAAATCAGCCCTGAATAGCACAATTCTATTTTCAAGCCAAGCCGCACAGTTTTAATAAGCAACAGTATTTCTGCAAAGCAATGTAGAAAAAAACATTCATATTAAAATTCATCACACAAGGCCTTTGCTTTGCACGGACTGGAAGCAGGGTGACTGTCTGAGCACTTGTTTGGATTTTGTTAACACCCAATGTGACGTTTACACCCACTCAGAGGTGAGCTGTTAGGTTTCACCGGTAAACAACCATCCACAGAGTGACGTTACTCACCTTCTTGGTATGTAAAAATGTGGCATCGCTGAGATCATGGTATTAGAGAGACCTGGTACTTGGTTCAATAAGAACAAACCCCCCCCCCCAATCCATCATAAAATAAAGCATGTTATTCAACAATGCAGATTTTGATAAAATATTATCAGCCCCAGCACCATTTGAATTAAGTTTAAAAAGAGTTAGTTCTCCATCAGTGAAACTCCACAAACTCCTCCAGGGTTTTTGGGATTTGGTTGCGGTAGCTGATGCGGTGTTGCTGCACAGCACGCGCTGCCAGGCACTTCAGGCTGATCTTCATCTGAGTTTTGAGGAGGATCTCTGAGACACCCGTGGTGCTCTTGTCCAGCGGGGTCTTCTTCTGCTTGTTGGTCATGTCAGTGTGCGCCCCGGCCTCCACCAGGCTGATGATGATGGCGTGCAGCGTGAGGAAGTCACTGATGGGCCGGTTGTATTGCACGATGATGTGCAGGGGGCTGTTGCCCTCCTGGTCCACAGCGTTTACCTGCGCCCCGCAGTCCAGCAGCAGCTTGGTGACCTGCGCGCTGGGAAAGCTGCACACATCGTTGGTGTGGAAGTCATCCACAGGCGTGCTGGAGCTGATGGCCAGGTGCAGCAGCGACGAGCCGTCCCGTGAGCGCGGGTCCAGTTGGATAAGGTTGTAGATCTGCTTGTTGATGCGTGCCCGCTCCTCATCGCTGCACTGCGTCTTGGTGGAGATGCACACCAGGTATAGGAAGGTGAAGATGTTGGACTCATAGTTGTCGACGGCCGAGGGCACGTCGGGGTCCTGCGAGGTCTCCAGCCGGGCCATGCTACGCTCGATCTCCAGCACACTGCAGCGCAGCACTAGTTCCACGTCGCGCGCCTTCACCGGCTCATTCAGGTGGATCATCTGAGAGAAGACCTGGGCAAAGCGCAGCAGGTCCTTGTGGGTGTTGCGGTTGCCCTTCTGCCGCAGGTGCAACGCATGTAGCCACAGGCGGATGCACTGGTCGAACTCCATGTTGTCGGCGTAAACGGCGCCGCGGTAGATGATGGGGTGTGAGACGTCGATGTTGTCCGAGCCCAAGATCCTCTCGCGCACAATCAGCCCCTCCATGTGCAGGGCATCACGGTCCTGCCTGATGGTCTCCAGCTCTTGCGGGGTCTGGCATTCCCTGCGCCTCCCGTACGCCTCGATGGGTGGCAGTACCTCCTTGGGGATGACACGGGACGAATCCCGGTGACGCTCCAGCATGGCAAGGTACAGGTAGTGGTACGTCTTGAGGATATCATAGTTCTCGCGGTCATTGGCGAAGGAGGCGCCCAGCAGCTCCAGGGCCTCAATGCGGCTCTCGGGGTCGCAGTCGGCGTGGGAGAGCAGCAGCTCCACCACATCGGCCTTGCAACTTTCGGCGGCGACCTTCAGCGGAGTCATGCCGTGGCCGTTGACCACCATGGCAGCCTGGTAGCTCACGAGCTCCTTTACGATGTCCAGGTGGCCGGCCTCCGCAGCGAAGTGCAGAGCCGTGGCCCCGCAGTGGGCCCTGGCGTTTGGGTCGGCCCCCCGCTCCAGCAAGAAGCGGACTACGTCCGCATGGCCCTTGTAGGCAGCGATCATCAGGCAGGTGTTGTCGTACTTGTTGGCGATGCTGATGTCGGCATGGTGGTCCACTAGGTAACGCACGATGGCCAGCCGCCCATCGAAGCAGGCGGCCCGCAGGGGTGTGGACTTGGTGACCGTCGTATGGTTCACGTTGGCGTTGTGTAAAACCAGGAGGTGGACCACCTCAAAGTGACCGGCCCCTGCTGCACACCACAGGGCTGTGGCACCATCTATCACATACCTGAGAATCAAAAGGAAAAGACGATAGACAGTTCCTGTTTAACAGCCAACAATCAACCAAGCAAATCAGACTATGCTTCTGCTGTACCTAAATGGCAAACATGTAATCCTTCATAAACATAACTTACAAGGAATGTGTACAAGTTTCCAATATACTATTTCAAAAATGCACCCACGGAAGCACCTGTAAGTCAAACTGTAAACAGTGAATTAACTTCGCAAATTTCAATTGGCATGACAGGCGTTGAAAGTTCATTTTAAACTAAAAACAATACTAACCCGTCGAATCTGACGGTGCCAGTTTGCTCCGTATCCACCCCATAGTGGTCCAGGAGCAGCCTGACCACCTTTGCGTGGCCGTTGCGAGCGGCGATGATGAGCGGCGTGGAGCGCTGGCCTGCGTGCTGGGTCACGTAGCTGAGCAGGTACCGGGTCTCAGCCTCCGAGTGGTTCAGCAGCAGGGCGGCCAGCGTCAGGACCCGGCCCTCGCTGGCCGCCTTGTACACATAGCCGGCCAGCGAATCCATTCCGGCCCGCCCGGTCGCCGGCACCTCCGCCTTCGTCGTAAGAATAGTCCGCTGGCTTCAGCACTACTCAGGCCGCCTCCCATTAAAAACTTAAGGCGAGCCCTTGCGCTGAGGCGAAAGCATTGCAGTGCTGGTGAGCCGCCGAATGCCCCCGTCCCCCGGTGCTCCGGCAGCGGCCAGGCAGCCGGCCGCTCTCCGGCTCTTCCGTGTTCGCTCCGCCAGAAACGAAAGTTACGCCGCCTTCCCAGAACTGCCCCGTAGTTTAAAAAAAAAAAAAACAGAAATAAAATTATATAAAAACAAGGATAATATTAACCTTTGGAAATATTCCAGAAAAGCCCTTAATGATGCAGAATGCTCACGAGTTGGCGCACGAGCTAGCGCAAGGGGCGAGAAGTGAAAGAAGACGGGCGGCGCGAGTGGATAGCGCGCGATCAAAGCCCGCAGTACCCACGGATCGGGACGCGCTTCCGCTTCATTCCGCTACACCGATGCATCAGTTTCTTGTCAGTCGTTCACCGACAAATGGACATATGTCAGTGTTGTAGCTGTTATTCCTTCCCCCCCAGGTCTATCAGTACGCCTCATGACACCTTTCACCTTTGCCCAGGATAAAGTACAGGAAGCAGCTGTGTAACTTCGAAATGCCCCCGTCCTGCAACTGCTACTAACATTTTTTTCTGGAAACCTAGAGGGCGATAAACAGGGTGGGCGCTGAATATTTAAGATAACATAATACTTTATTCATGCAATCCTGTTTGTAAGTACTGGGAATTACTAAAATTATAGCTCCGTTCGTTTGGGAAAACTATGTTCCGCATTCAAAGATTGACGCCTTTCAGAGCCAATGAAAATGGGGAAGGGAGGGGGCGCTATCCCGTCTGGTGCCTCCCCTTGCCTTCCAATTGGCTCCGACTCTGAACCGGTGACTATTCTCAATTGTTACATTGTATTTATTGTTAGTGGTTTATTTACAATTTCTCATATTCAGAGTATGATTCTGTGAACATTGTCAACCAGGGATTTTTAATGAAAAGATCTGGTAATAATAACTGACATTCAGAATTCAGCAATAAGTCAATGTAACACTAGAATAGAATACCTTTATTGTAATTGCACATGTATGACTGTCACTGCACAGGTCTAGACAAGATTTAGTTTGCAGCTTCTCGATGCTATTACTGACAATAAATTAACTAAAAATTGATTAACAAATGACAGGCAAAAAGTGCAAGAAACCAGGAAATCTGAAGTGTATCCATGCATACACACCCCTTGGCTTATTGAGACAGACTAAGAACAGCCAAATGTGAAGAATAGAATACAAGGCAGGTATTGGCTTGTAAAGCAAGTGAGCCTATCAATTTGGAAAATGTTACATGATCTTTAAGGGGCAATAACTGCGCTGTGAAATATTTTAATTTTTAGCATTGTGCAGCCTTGTGTCATATGTAAATGACACACTAATATCTTGGGATATTTTTAGTTTAAAAACTGAAAGGTTTGGCAAGAATGACTCCGTGTAAGTAAGCTGGCCTTCATGCTCCATGGAGCATTTGGTAAAATGACTCAGTTTATACAGGCATGCCAGCTGTCACACATCTGGCGTGACGCTCACCCTTTCAGACTCTCATGCTCACACATGAAATCTTACAACAAATCTAGTTTATTCCATTAAAACCCTAAAATTAGCTAAATCAAAAGCACTGTGGTAGTTTGCAAACCCATCCATTCGTTTTCTGAAACTGCTTATCCAATTCAGGGTCATAGGGGGTCTGGAGCCTGTGGGCATTAGGCGGGGAACAACCCAGGGCAGGGCACAAACCCAGGGCAGGGCACAAACACAGGGCAGGGCACACTCACACACCATTCACACCTATGGGCAGTTTGGTAACACCAGTTAGCTTCAATATGTTTTTAGACTGTGGGGGGGAAACCAAAATATTCAGAGGAAACCCCACAATGACACAGGCAGAACATGCAAACTCCACACACATGGAGCTCTGGCAGAGACGCAAATCCAGGTCCCAGAAGTATAAAGCAAGAGTGCTAACCACTGCACCACCCCCAGATTACAAGCTCTACAGACTATTTTCAAGGTAATAAAACTGTTACATACATGTAAAGACGTGTGCAGACTTGTCTGAAACAGAAAATCTCATGCCGGCCAGCTGACCAAAACTGGCAACTCTGGTTGATTCTCATATTTGGATATGAACTATTTTTGTCTCATCGTCTAGATACCTTTAATTATGACTAGTAATTGGTCATTTAGTGGTAAAACTGCAGCTCTCTAGGAAGGTAGATCTTTAAATGAACAATAAACTGCTTAACCTCAGAAAGGTCATTATTCTAAGTATGGAATATTATTTAGTACTGAGAAACAGTGAGAAAATGCAATCATTTGGATATTATCAAAAAGCATGCCAAATACTCATAATGTAATCATTAGAATGTAATCATCATAATGTAATCAATTATCTATGTATCTGCACCTTATCTTAGCCTTTGGTTAGTTTCTGTTGGATCTTTTATTTTAGCCCAGAACATCCACCTTAATTAGCTCTTCAGCTTATCACTATGTAGAAGATCAAACATATTGTCAACCCAAGCTAAGAAACGTGTAACCAGCTAGAGCTGCTAAGATTTGCTACTGAAGAGAAGGGAATTGTCTGAGTTCGCCAGACAGCGAAAAGAAATCATTGACAATCTTATCACCTAGAGGTGTGGATTAAGGGAGAAAACAATGATGGTGAATGGTTGAGGGAATGATGATGCTTAAGTGATGAGATTATTCATTGTTAAAGGATGAATGTATTACAATCAGTGTAAAGCAGCGTGTGAGACATTGCTGCAGGGCTCCAGCCTTCGCTGTAACCAGAAAGACTGAATGGGAAGATCTACACCAGTGGCTCCTGACTCCTGATTTGGCGGGTCAAGGAAAAATCACAACACTGTAGCCTATGCAGGAAGCAGTGGTTCAGGTATAGATCTCGAGAGCTGTGTAGTTTGTTCAGCAGGTTTTACTCATGTTCAGTATATTTATGTAATTACACTGAATTAGCTGTTTCTTGTTTTGGACCCTCGTCACTGTTTTGTCAGACTGATCTGTGCCACCTCACCCAGACTCCCTTTTTGTTCGCCTCTGTCTCCACATCACAGAAGCCTGTTCACCGTCTTGACAGGTCTTACCCGCGGTCAAACTAAATTGGCAAAGGGGGTACTGGGGGGGGGGGGGATGCTTTCAATTGTCCAAGCAAAAGGAGCAGATGTTCAGGTATCATGTGGGCTTCTGCCAGCACTGATTATACTGCTGACAGTATTTAAACTGTCAACAGTATCTTAATTTTATGCATTTTCTGAAACTGTTTGTAATATTCAGGGTTGCAGGAGGTCAGGGGCCTATGGGCACAAGGCTGGGAACAACCCAGGATGGGTGCCAACCCATCACAGGGCACCAACCCATCACAGGGTGCCAACAGGGCACACTCTCTCTCACACACACCTTTGGGCAATTCGGCAAATGCCATTAGTCTCAGCAAGTTTTTGGACTGTGGGGGGGAACCAGAGGACCGGGAGGAAACCCCACAATGACACGGGGAGAACATGCAAACTCCACACACAGAGAACCCTGGCAGAGACTCCAACCCAGATCCCAGAGGTGTGAGGCAACAGTGCTAACTGCTGTACCACCATACCATCCCAAATTCAGTTTATATAAAAATAAAAGTAACATACAGTTTAGCTAAATGCAAAATATAGGTTATTAGTTAATGATAAAGACTGTTGCGGTACAGGAACCGAGCGCCCCCCCCCGAGGTATCGCCATTTTACCTGCCCCGCGAAATTTCGGCACCGCCCAGCCAGCTATGCTTTTGTGCGGCAAAATAGGTACTAAAAAGCTTTTTATTGACAGTTAAACATTTTATGTCACAATTAAAACCGAATTAAAGTAAAATTATTATTGCATACTGTTCCATTCTCTGTTTTGTTTTATAGTTATGTTTTTCAGCACCGCTAAGCCTGCTAATTGCTATATGAAAGGCATACCTAATTAAAGCCTGCTGTCCATGTCAGTCTATAGTAGCCTATCTAATTCGCGCAATATAATATATGATTCGTTATACATTTAGCTATTGAAGCATAATTAAAACTATTCAGGTTAAAAGCGTTTCTAAAATAGTATCATTTTGATGTTAGTCATTTTGTTGTTAGTTACATCATCCGCGCAACTGGCAATATACTTTTTAATGTGAGTAAACCGGTGAGTGGAGGGAAGTAAGAGCGTTTGGAGCAACTACGTCTATCTAACGTTTGAAATATAAAAGACGCCGTAAATAAATAGCAGCAAACCGTCACGTGTACATGAATAATAAAGAAAAACTTTATTATGCAGCTTTGTTTCCTTGACTCTCTTTACATTCGTTTCACTAAAGAGTTACACCTTTTACAATTACAGCTGAATCATACTTAATGCAGAATATGATGTCAGATATTTTGAAAATTTAGACAAAACATGAACGTATATCTGTCACTCTGTCGTAAACATATAAATCTTGAATAGCATACGAGAACATTGTTTAATACAAAGCTGAAGTGTGTAGCCTATTTGAAAGATAAAACATATTGATAACGAACGGTGGAGGTGGCAGTAACCTTAGCAGAAACAATACAGCAGTAGTCTAGACAAAAGGCGAGCGACTTTAATTCCTGTATATGACAGAAAATATGGCTGGATTCAGTACATGGATTTATTCAGTTCAATCATAGTTTTCGACTCTTCTATATTTCCAGCATTTCTTCTAGCTCTTTTCAATATTTTTTTCCAGAAAACAAGATGAATACTTTATGCAAAACCTCCAAAAAGCACAAATAAACGACTCTAATGCAATCTCCTGTATTTATCTAGTTTGGCACATAATGCAGCCTGCTTCTAAAAAGGTTACCGTCAGTTGTGCTTATCCGTCTAAATACTGAATCAATTTACACGCATTTCATTTGTTTATTTCTGTTTCGCATTGTCCATCAATAGTGGATAGTCTATACTGTTCAGTGGCAATGACATTGAGATGAATAACGTTTTGCGTGTTTTCGTGTTGTGGTTGTAATTCGTCAGAAAAAGGGCGCATTGGATTATTATTATGTATAACAGGTAAAGAAATTCGCCAAAACAAATCCTTCAGCATCTTTCTGAACTCCCTTCTCATGAGACAATACAGGACCGGGTTTAAGCAGCTGTTGACATGAGCTAAGCAGACTGAAAGAGGGAACACGTAAGTGTGGATGGTGTAGTACGCCTTATCCCAGCGTACCATGTTGAATTTAACTAAGACCCCCCAGAAGGTGATAGCGTGGTTCGGCATCCAGCAGAGGAAGAAGGAGAGAACCACGATGGTTACGGTTTTGGTGACTTTGGATCTCCTTTTAGGATAATTGTTGTTCATGCTCCGCTGTCGGATGAACCGCAGGAGCAGCAAATAGCACGCCGAGACTATTAGCATAGGCATAACAAATGCTACCAGTATCTTTTGGAGATGGTAGAGAGCTAGCCAGTGCTGGCCGTCGGGGAATTTAAGGAGGCAGAGCTTTTCCCCGGCTATACTTGTCACTGTGGAGAACATGGAAGTTGGTGCCGTAGCCGCGGTAGCGCAGAGCCAGAGCAGCGCGCTCACCCAGCGCACTGAGCAGCGTGCCCGCCGGCTCCGGCTCTTCAGGGCTGAAGCGACAGACCAGTAGCGGGTAATGCTCATGGCGGTGAGGAAGAACACGCTGGCGTACATGTTCATCACGGTCACGGAAAGAATGATCTTGCACATCGCATCGCCAAACGGCCAGCTGAAGTCAAGGGCGGTGTCTACAGCCCAGAAAGGTAGAGTCAAAACGAACTGGAAGTCCGTAACAGCCAGGTTAAGGACGAAGAAGTTTATTGTGGATTTCTTCCTACCCTGCCTTTCTTTCATAAGGAAAAATACAAGCAAGTTTCCCACTAAGCCGACAACGCACACAGCAGAGTAAACTACTGAAATGATGATCCTGAGGACCGGAGTCCCGTCAGCAATAACATCAATGTCCTCCAGGTTGCTGAATCTCTCCTGGTCCGCGAAAGACCTGTTGAAGACGTCAGTGTAATTGATCTCCACCATCCTTTTTGTCAGGGACGATACCCCTGGTGCCTTCACTAAAACCAAGTTGTTCGCCGATTGCATATCAGGGTTAAAGACCTGGACTTCCTAATAAACAAAGTTGAGACATCACACACAATTGCTGATGTATTTCAGAAACGGAGCATCGTCGCACCGTTATCTCTAAAGGCCAATTACAGCATGGACAGCTCCTGCAGTTTATAGGTACGGTCTGTCTGTCAGACCGCCGCCGCGCGCCGGCTTCTTTGTACAGCGCGTGTTGCGGGCGCCGGCCCCTGGAAAACAAGGATTGGTTCAAAGCTTTTTGATTGACATAAAGTTTGTACTGGTGTTGAGGGGAATTAAGGCAGAAAAAATAACTAATGGGAAAGTGTTTTCTTGGGGTTATCTTTTTTCAGGGCATTGCTATCATTACAAAAAAGCACGGTACTTGTTAATTTTGTTAATTTATTACAGGTATAGCCTACATTCCAATACCAAAATATTAACTTGCTTTTTTTCTTTTTATGCGTCTAATTTGCCTCCAGATACACGCATGTACTGTTATAGGCGCAGCAACCGCACGATCCAGGCGTACCGCTGTCAGAGAAACGCGAATATATTTAAAAACCTTTAAGAAGATACCATGAATTGTTACAGTTAATATATTGTATATACAGCTGGTTATCCAGTGAGTTTGTAGATATGTATTGCTGTTGCTGGATTTGGTGAAGCTTTATGATCCACTTGCTGGTGCTGAAATGAGAGCTCTCATAAGCGGTGAACCCTTTGTTTATTAAAAATATGGCGAAACATTCGACTGATCTTCATTGAGTGCTTCCTTTTCTAAACATATTTATTCTCCTGCCAATGTAGCCGATAATGATTACCCGTTTCCGCCAGCAGTGTCTGTAGAGGTGCACAGCGACTCCTCGGTTGTCGCATATCCCTTCACGTACAGGTGAGAGCCAGGCCCTTCATCGAGCGCTCCTGGACCGTTCTGGGTGGGGTCCGGGATCTGCTCTGGGGCCCAGCAGTGATATAATCACCCTCCCTACAGCGTGCTACTCTATAATCTCAAAGGCAGTAGCAACATTCACTAAATTGTTTGATGAAACAGTCACATGTTTTTGATTTTAGAGCATTAGAGTTTTTTTATTCAGTCTTTAAGATCCTGCAACTCAGTACCCTACTCCGTGCCGCCATATTTAAATTGAAGTAAGCGTGGAGTGTAGCGATTGCAATACGAGATTGCGCCAGTCCTGCATTTCACTGATATTTCGCTAGAGGGTGCTGACGCCAAACAAATAGCTTTTGATTGCTAAAAATCAATTGTGTATTCTGCATGCTTTTCCTCCTAGGGGCTAAATTGCAATTAATAGCATATAAAATAATTTAAAACTTACTAACATTTGATAAAGTTTAACACAGTAATACTTAACTCATGATCAGAAAACTAGAAATTAAATGTTCATTGGTGGAAAAACGCTGCCAGAATTGTTTTTTAGCGATAGAGAACAATGTTTTCTGGGTATTACTTTTAGCTGCAAACAATGATAGTATAGTAAGGATGATACACCGGCTTCAAACAACCTAATTTATTTCATTTCATTTCAGTACATGTAGTTTAGACAGCAGAAGGCTCGGTTTCGTAAGGCTTGAATTCATAAATATTTCTGCGGCTAGTCGTTGGTAACCTAACATGCGGGTGTTTGCTGCAGAGGAGCGGAGATGTCCAGGTAACATCAAAGGTATTCCGAAAGGACACTAGACCCCTCGTATCAGCGCCTAGTAAAGTCTAAGTTTTTTTTCCACATACAGCTTCATGAACTTGCAGTGTTTATATTGTCATATCCGGCATAGAGCATTGTTTGCTGTGCAATCCATCCAGTTCGGCGGCATCCAGGATATACAGAATCTCCAGGGCATAGAAAATCGGTCCATCTAGATATCAAAGCACATCACATAGGCTATGCACAAAACTCAGTTTAGACCGTTCTTGAATTTAAGTTAAAAATATATATATATATGTTGCCCTTATATTAGGCTTTGTTGCCGTGCGTTAATTTCGTTGTGTAGTTACTTCGCAGTTAATATTTGGTCTTTCGTCTTATTAGCTGTAGAGTTAAAGAAATCTTTGCGTTGAAGTCCTCCCACAACAGCTAACAAAGTAACAGAGGAGGGTGTGTCTCTGAGAAGTTTTGCATCGAAAGAAAAACTTGAGTACTAGCCGGATTGCGTAGGGGTGTAGGACGGGCTGGGAAGGGGTAGTCCTTCGGCAAACATCAATACAAACAAGTGGAGAATCCCGGCAAGGGAGCCCCTTTTCCCTGCTGCAGAACTGGGGGTTTCTACCATTAGTTAGGCTTTGTCAAGAAGAGTTTTTATTATATAATTTTGTAGCGTTTTGTCACGACAATACGTTTGTAAAACATTTTAAGTTAGATAAAGATTTGTTTGAAGAACCTTACGTATGCATGACATGTCATTCAATTCTTCCAAGAGAAGGCTTTAGTGTGTCAGGATTTGCGCTGCAACATGTTGATTCACTCGGAGTGGAGATGGCACATTTTTAGTAAAACTTTTTCTCTTATTCGTTTATTAGTAGCGGCAGGGATTTTCGCTATGCTGGAAAACGACAAAACCTTTGGACTTGCACATACACAAGGTGAGTTTAATGACGATGTGCATGATGAAAATGATTCTTTGACTAAGCAGTGAATGAAATACTTAGCATCAGGTTGCTAAGCTGGCGTTAGGCTGCCCGCGAGGTCCGATCGATGTAGGCGCCCCTACTGACAGCAGTACGACCTGTTTCTTTCAAAACTACTTTGCTTAGCAGCACCGGATTTCTTTTAACAAGTGGAGCGAACCGAAAATCGGGTCTAATTCATAATAATTCACAATTTAATGATGAAAAACACTTCTCAGATCTTGTTACCGATTCTCTGAGATAAAGATTACGCTGCTTAGTATATATAATCTCTCTAATCACTGAATTTGTTTAGATTTCCTTTAACATTTTGTATCGGTTGTGGAAATGTGGCTGTTGCATGAAGCAGGTTAGCGATGCAGCGTCTTTTTCTTTGCAGCCAGGTTTTAGGAAATTGTACATTGTTCACATAAATGGAAATCTGGCAACGAAATACTGCCAAATGGGGTTCCCTGAGTTTTTCCTGTCACCGGCCACTGATGGCTTCCAGTTCACTAGGCTTAGCAACAACAACAACAGCATTATGATATTTATGCCGTCATTTGTCACAGATGCCCTGATGGTAAACATTGTATTTTTTATTCCCTCCTGTTGAAATGCAGATTTTGTAAAGGGATATAATGCACCGCATTTGGAGCACAAGTTGTAATATCTGTGCATGTAAACAGTTTTTCTAAAGGCAAATGATTGCATGTTGCATAGCTGACTTCTTCCCCAGATTGCCAACACTGTAGCTTGTCACATTCACTTAGTACCATAGAAATTGTCACTGAGTTTCCTTAAAAACATAACGATCTCCTTCACACAATAATTAGAGTAACTAAAAATTGAGACTAATTACATTTATAATAATTAGTAATTGCTAGTAGTAAGTAATTATTATTAATTAGCAATTAGAAGATTAATTTTCTATGGGTGGCATAGTCAGTAGTCCTTTTGCTTTCCACCTCCAGAGCTGGAAATTCAAATCCTTCCAATCTTTGGCTTCCTACAGTTCAAAGACGTGCACTTAGGCTAATTGGCATCTTTGAATTGCCAGTAGAGTGTGAATTTGTGTCTGTGTGTGTGTGTGTGTGTGTG